AACCTGATTGTGTCAGTGAGAGACAACGGACAGCCCTCTCTGTCTGCCACCTGCTCCATGTATTTACTGATTTCTGACAACTTGGCTGAGGTGCCGGAACTGAAAGAAATGTCGAACTATGAGAATAATTCCAAGCTGACCTCGTACCTGATTATTGCTCTGGTGTCTGTGTCCACCTTCTTCCTGACCTTCATCATCATCATCCTGGGTGTGAGGTTTTGTCGCAGGAGAAAGCCCAGACTGTTGTTTGATGGAGCAGTTGCCATCCCCAGCGCTTATCTCCCTCCTAATTACGCAGATGTTGACGGCACAGGAACTTTACGCAGCACTTACAATTATGACGCGTACCTGACAACAGGTTCTCGGACCAGTGACTTCAAGTTTGTGACATCTTACAATGACAACACTCTGCCTGCAGACCAGACTCTAAGAAAAAGCCCCACAGACTTCCTCGAGGCTTTCGGAGATTCTGACGATTCTTCCCAGGTAAGAAAGTGAAGCAATTAGTATTCATCCCACAGTTCTGAGGTGACACTTACTAAAAAGTGTCACATCCAATGGCAACTCATGACCTGCAGACTCGGATGAAAAGTCACACAGAGTTTGCTGACGCTTTATGGGCGTCAATGAATTTACTGGTCGTAAACGTCGCATGAAAATAATTTTCATGTATCTGTTTACAATGGTTAAATGTCAGTGATGCTGGTATATTCATTCTTTTTTTCTTTTTTTTAGCAAGCATTTACCTTAACACGTTTGTTGTTTCATCGATTTATATGTATATTTATTTAGAAAATATATTGTTCATGAAGTACAAAAAAAAAAAAAAAAAAAAGGCAAATTGGTTGCAGGTGTTTCAATGCAATCCCCCAGTATATTTATACACTGCACTTAAAGAGAAAACAGTTTGGCTTTCTGCTAAAGTTAAGCTCTGTTTAGTTTAATATCTGTCCCTATCCGTGGTCCTGATTGCAGCAACTAACTCAGAAATGTATCCTGTTCCTCGTCTTTTCGAGATCATAGTGTAAATAAAACACATCTTGGCTGTATAACGAAGGAAAATGCTTCCAAAACTTTGTCTTTACACTTCGTCATCAGGTCGGTGTTTTTTCATTTGTACGTTATTGCAGATTTATCGATTAACAGTCATTTGAAATCAGGTATTTTCTGCTAGTCTATGTACATTGTTCACTGCGATGCACACAGTGACGACACAAACAACAGCCTTGCAATGAAGGTTGATAAAACAATCGTAAAATTCTACCTGTTTCTATTTTTGACGTCTGTTACTGTGCAGAAACTCGTTTGTTCAGCTGTATTCACAGTTTTAGGTGGCTTTGACTGCAATGTTGTGTCAATTTGTAGTATGTTATAAGGTTTCCCTTGCAATCTTTGCTCAACTAAATATTCGACAAGACACAGGTTTATTGAGAGAATATCCAGAATCAGATGCAACACTATTCTAACGACCTGCAAAGCCTGAAAACATCCATAGACTTAAAAGAAACGATAATTTTATTTGAGTGAAATGCCTCATCTCGTCTGGCTGGCTTTCTCTCTGAGATAAAGTCTCAGACATAAAGTAAGTTGCATTTCTGTCATAACTTGCAGGATGACTGTACATTGTAATCTTGAGGACATGCTGTGAGTGTCGCTGTCTACCAATTCAAAACTGATACAGGCTCCATATGAAACCTTTCAGCGTCTCCACCCACAGTTTTCCTATTCATTGTTTGCCACAACGCTATTTGTCCTGAATTGCTATCAGATGTACACATTCATCTGTCTTTGTGAAGATTGCTAATCACGTCCTTTTGATTCATTTGGATTGATGAAGGATGGCGTGTATGGGATTCTCAGTGAACCTTATCTGTGGCTCACTTTTATTGCTTTTTGGATTACGGCTTTGTTATGGCGACGTCAGCTATTCTTTTCCTGAGGAAATGAAACGCGGGTCCGTGATTGGAAACATAGCCAAGGATCTTGGGCTTCAAGTAAGCAGACTTCCACCTCGGAAGGCTCGAATTGTCCTGGAAGGAAACCGTAAACGTTATTGTGAGATAAATGCGGATACCGGAGAGCTGGTCGTGGCTGAACGGATTGACCGAGAGGAGCTATGTGGAGCGAAGATTACATGTAATTTAAAATGCGAGTTGGTACTGGAGGATCCACTAGAATCACACCGAATATCTTTGCAAATCCAGGACGTTAATGACAATCCACCTGTTTTTGCTAAGGATACTGTTAAATTGGAGATACGTGAATCAGCTCCCAAAGGTTCTCGCTACAGAATAAACGCTGCACGCGATGCAGACATTGGACAAAATGCTGTTCAAAATTATGTTTTACAAAAAAATGATTATTTTGTTCTGAACGTACTAACTAATTCTGTTGGTACAAAATACAGTGAGATAGTCTTGGATAGAGAATTAGATCGCGAAGAACAGCAGGAGGTGGTTTTATTGCTGACGGCCGTCGATGGTGGATCTCCTCAGAGATCAGGCACTGCAGTCATAAACATCACTGTACTGGATGCTAATGATAACGCCCCAGTGTTTAGCCAAGCCATCTATGAGGCAACTTTACCTGAAAACTCTCCTTTAGACACTGTAGTAGTGACAGTGAGTGCTACTGATGCAGATGAAGGTGTGAATGGTAAAGTAACCTATGAATTCAGTGGAATCAGTGATATCGCAAAGCAAATATTTTCATTGAATGAATTCACTGGAGAAATTACAGTAGCAGAAAATGTTGACTATGAACAAGAATCAAAGTTCGAAATGCTAATTGAGGGAAAAGATGGCTATGGCCTGTCTACAGAAGCAAAAATAGTGGTTGATATAACTGACGTGAATGACAATGCCCCGGTGATACATATTAATTCATTAGCAAACCCCATACCTGAGAACGTGTCACCTGGTACAGAGGTGGGCATCATTAACGTGCAGGATGCAGACTCAGGCAATAACCGACAGGTCCGATGCTCCATTCAGCAAAACGTTCCTTTTAAATTGGTTCCTTCTATTAAAAACTATTATTCTCTGGTGAGCACAGGACAACTGGACCGTGAAGTGGTGTCTGACTACAACATTACAATCAGTGCCACTGACGAGGGCTCTCC